CGAGGAATTTCTAGCGGTGACTAAGCGGGCCACTGGGGATTTAGGATGTTGGCTCCGAAACGACAGAGTTTGAGATTCTTTTTGCCGTGTCGATTCTGGTGAATGTCCTGCCATAAACCGCACGGCGTCGACACCACGTTGGGACTCCAGGATGGACCATTCGAAGTTGACGCTGGAGGAACTCGATAAGCTGTCAAGCAAAAAGCTCCTTCGTCGGCAGTTGTTAGGCCTGAGTTGGGGTGAACTTTTATACGGCGGTGACCTGGTCATGTTGGAGTGGCCGCGGACTTCAGGGGGATGAGGAATCCGTTTCTGTAGCTTTTATTTGTTCGAAGCTTTTTTCACGAGCAAACCAAGGGGAAGCAGGGGGGGGGCTAGAGTTTCAAGCTGATGCGCAGTTGCCCCATTTGCACCCAGTGGGAATGGCAACTCTGAGATTTTCTATGCGGTACAAGCTGTAGCAGGTTCAGCGCCTGTCAGGGTCAGAACGTGAGGGGCAGCAGGAAGAAATTGCAGAACATTGCAGAACAAAGCTTTGCGTTACGGTTGCGGCTGCCATCGATTGGTTGCAGCGCGTGAGAAGCGTGCTTCAATAACAACACGCTGCCTTAGGAAGAGGAAGGATCTCATGGACGCAAAGCACGAAGATGCAAAGCGGCTCGGTGAGCTTTGTATAGTTCCAAGGGCCGCCAACACACACCAGTCACCGACATAGCACGCCTAGCAGACCTGGCCTGATTCCAGCGCTCAGTAGCCAAGTTATCCCAAGCTATTTCTCTGCCGAGGTTTCTGTAGTGAGGGCTAGTGGGCATCAGTGCTCTTCGACGAGGATCTAAGTCTAAGTTGTATGTGCTGCTACATGCTGCTGCAGGCTGCCTCCAGCCGTCATAGTTCCAAGTGTGCAAGACATCGTCTCATCGCAGGCAGCGGCAGGACTCGGACAATGCGACCAAGGCGTTCTCACGTGGATGACTATGTAACACATCTTAAGCTTGTTCATTACGCTTCAGGTATGCAGATCGTGTGCAGCTCTTGAGAAAGACAAGCCCCAAGAGATAGTTTCAGAAACTACTTTGCCTCAAGCACGCGCGCAACTGCACTTGCTGCATATGTTGCTTTGACTGCTATTCTTCTACTTGGTTTGAGTGTTGAGTCCCAAACCCTCAGCTTTGTAAGCGCAGCAAGAGTTGGCAGAGGCTCTCCTCAACAGCATTCAGGGGAGCTTCTTTGCTGCAAGCTGTTGAACCTTTCAGAGGGAAACACTATATAGCTCTCTCAAGCTGAGGCGCTTAAAGGGCCATGAAGTGCTAGCAAGTGCCCAAAGCCCTGGGAACCTAACAAAACGGCGTGGAGTCTTGCCTTGAGCCATCGGAGTCTGAAGTTGGCATGTCCAAGTGCGTCGCCGCGTAGACTCTGGGCAGAAAGCAGATCGGAAAATAGATCTGAAAGTAATTAGATCCAAAAGTAGACCTAAAAGTAGATCCAAGTGAGTTTTGGGGAGAGGCCCATGTGTTGCATGCCGGGCTGGTCCTAAGCACACAGCTAGAGCTGACTTCCTTGGTGTTTCCTTGCCGAGGACTGCGCAACACACAGAAAAAGATCTAGTGGCGGATGTGGTTTGCACAGAGGCGGCGCCTCAACTGAAGATGGCACGCTCAAGCAAGTGCATTGTGTTAACGCATACTTCTGCAAAAGGAATCGGACCATCTTCGAGCCAAGCTGAGGATGCTGTGCACTTGGGCACTGCGCTCCCTGCGCAGCGTGCGCAGCCAGGAGTTCAGAAGCACCCAAAACTTGGATATCGCTTAGCAGTAAGGCGGAGCTTGATGGCAAAGCTATCTAAGCCCAGCAGTTTCTCCTGAAGGCAGCGGATAGCAAAGATCTTTCTGCTTGTCGGCGGAGCACAGCAAGGAAATGCGCCCGCTGCTTCAAATCGGCCTCTCGACACCTTAAGAAATGGTACTGAGGTAGAGAGGGACCACTTGAACCCGATCTAATCTAACCAAGACCACAACCGCAACGGAGAATTCAGAAGACTCCCTCCACATTAGACATGAGTCCTTCAAAGCCGCGCTGCCAGGTCTGTGGCCCGAAGAGCCCAGATGCCCTTTGACCTGCCTCCGCCAAAGCGCCGTGAGGATGGGTTAACAGGGGTTAACAGGGGTTGATTAGGGTTTGGGGTCATTCGAGGTGGCTTTTGGATGTTTGAGGTGTTGCGGGGTCGAGCTTGAGTCATCTCCATCGGTTTGGACATAATGGCCCACACTCTGTGTAGATTTGCTCTGCTGTCATAGTTGCGTGGGCCTTGCGGTTGCTGCTTACCATCGATGCGTTGATCCAAACGCACCCTGCCGAGTTGCCGGCACAGCAGTGGCAATATTCATGGGGTTGGGCTGGGGGCCAATGCTCAATGCCTCATGCCCGAAGAAAGCTGCGACCCGTGAAACACTGGACAGTCACATGGGAAGTGGCCCATGTGGCCCACTGGTTGCCATTGAAAGTGACAGCAAATGTCGCGCCCACTTTAGTAGGTGCTTGAGACATGTCTGACACGTCTCACCGGCTTAAAACGGGTCAATTGTTTGCGAGGTCTGCTTTAAAGACCAGGTTTCAAGTTTTCCGGGCGGCATGGGAGAGAAAATGAGAGAAAGGACCGCAAGTTGGCAAGTGTGTTGGTGAGAAGGTTCGAGGAGATTTCCAGAATCCTCCCTCCAGGACTACGGGGACTACGGGCACTACGGAGACTACGGGGCAGCTCCGGGAAGCAACCGGCGCCATACGCTGCACTGAGGGGTTTCGTTCAGTTGAATTGAGGGGAGCTCTTCACAACATGTCGCAACGCATGGCTCGGGTAGGGAGTGGGGCGCCCTTTTGCTGGGCTGGACATGCAATTTAGTCGCGCTTGTTCATTGCACCAAGTCATTGCGGCTTGAGCCCCTTGAAGCCTTGAACCCTGAGAAACAGAAAGTTGATTGAAGTGTGAGTGTCCGAATGTCCCGACACCCGGTTTGGACCGTGCTTGGCGACCTGACCCAACTCGTCCTCCGCAGCAGGAACTCGTCGTTGAATTGGTTTTGTGGTCATGGCTCCACCCGACTCACTTATGGCCGTTGGCTCATCATCTCTGGCCGCGTGATGAGCAAACCGATGCGTATCTCGTTACCAACACTCTCTTTCTCTTTCTCTCTCTCCCTCTATCTATCTCTCTCACTCTCTCGCTCGTCTCTCTCTCTCTCTCTCTCTCTCTCTCTCTCTCTCGCTCTTTCCTCTTGTATCGGTTGGGCTTCAATAACTCGATTGGGCTCCGCGCACACATGGTATGCGCTCCTCCTGATTCAAAGGCACCTATGTCCACACACGTCGTAGCGTGAGCCTCAAGATGGTCAGCAGGCGCTTTCGAACGGCACGGTGCAACAGGCAGAAAACGTTGGTTGTTTTGGATGCGCATCCTTTGCTTCCCCTGAACTCTGACAGAGCCGTCCTGAGGATCTGCGAGGCATCTGGAGGCCCAAAGAAGTACTTCTTGGGCAGTCGAAGGGCCCTTGAACTCCTGATCTCTTGGTGCAGGTGTGCAATTACCGAGGTCATAAGGCAATTCGTCTGAGTCCGAATCCTTTGCCATCCTCTGCCTCGTTCCGATCTCGCCAACGGGTCCTTCACGCTTCAGATGCCAACAGGGTATGTGCTCGGTCCAAGAGCCACAAGACTCCTAAACCATTTTGGCACCACCATCTGTGGCCTCAACAACGCTCCACCTGATCTTCCCGCATGGCTGGCATGGCCGCCTGTTCCATGTTTTGAGAAGACCTGGGCCAGTTCCCTTCTGAGGTGCCCTGCATTACTTTCGGATGGCGATGCTCTGCAGGAACAGGAACAGGGGGAAGCAAAAGCTTGCTGTCGAAGATTGGGTAAAACAATGTAAAACAGGAACATCCGGGCGCCTACGCCAAGGGCTGGGTCCGCACTGGGAGAAGATGATCGCTTCTGCAGATTGGCCCGTTTTGGGGTTGCCATTTTAAGGCGGACCCAGGGGGGAGTTGTGACGGACCTCGACTCATCACAGGCCAGGAACTTGCGCTCGTTTTCACGGAGGGCCTTATTGAATCCTCTCAATTGTGCCGCCAACAGCCTCAAATTTACAACCCCATCAAGCATTGGGCAACGGAAAACAATTGTTCGCCCGAACCCAACTGTCCCAACCAGAAAACCTGTGAGCCTCAAATTGCGAAAGTTCAAGCGGCCATTGTGCACCGGCCCCTTTCTGTGAAGCAAGGCGCGTGCGCGCCTTTATTCGCGACCTGGCCCCGCGGGTTGAGCTGCAGGGTGTGGGAGTTTGAAGTTGGAGGGCTTGGGCAGGTTTGTTGCACGATTTGTTCGGCTGAGGGCATCTTTGTTGATTTTTTGCTCATGGAGGTCACGTACTTTGTGTACTTGGCTTCAGTCAAACCATTGATGGCCATGGGCAAAGTCAATAGTCAGTCACTGCATTCATGGCAAGGGCGATTTATGGCAAGGGCGAGCATGATCGTTGAAATGTCGTTTCGGGGATGTATCGTGGAGTGAGCAAGCAGGAACTAACCTGTTGCTGCCGCAACCCGAAACCATCAAGCGTGGGCTTTGGTGAGAATTGTGTCATGCAAGCATGTCCCGGTTCCCACAGGTCCATCGAGGCCCGTGAAGGTCCACATAAGACTTGGCCCTTTGTTTACGAAGCAAGTGGGTATCGCTCCTAGCCAGGCCCTGCTCACATGCCTTCCCATGCCTTCCTGACACATGACACCGCAGCTGCCATCTCACTGGGTTTGCAGGATATGGGCGAAGCCGCCTTAGATCTTCTCCAAAGTTTGGAAGAGGATCTGCAGATAGAGATCATCGAGCAGTTCGACATTCAGGGCCTCATGGCACCAAGTGCTGAATATATTAAAAGCAATCGTTTGCTCATGCTCCAAAACTTTTACTCCGGACACAGGGGGCTCAAGCAAGATTTGGAGATTAACCATCCCTATCAGCCTTGCAGCTGCCGGCAGCCGCGTCATGACTGTGGCCGTGAAGCTTACAGAGGAGGTGCCTGGAGTTGCAGCAAAGGCTAGGCTAGGTGGGACTTTAGGAGGTTCGCCCAAGCATGCCATAGCCAGCTGATTATCGACAAGGGCCATAGGCTATAAATATGTAGTCCTTGAGTGATCGCCGCAGGAGTTGGAATTGGAGCAAACAGGCATTACCAAGGCCGCATCCTACCTCTCTCAGTGCACGACACTCTATGCTGGTGAAAGCTGTGATGGGGATGTCAACCTGGCATCCGAGACGCGGTCCTCATTACCGGAGCGATCGTCCACGAAACCTGACCCTGAGAATTGCGTGGAGGTGGAGCCCTTGGAAGCAATCAGCATCTGGACCCGGCAAACCATTGGCATAGCCTTTGGCGGTTTCCTCCTGGCCTTCCTGAGCGCCACTGTAACAGGGGTTGCTTATGGCTTCTTCCTCGGCTACATGGGGCTAGACTCCTACGTCTTGTCGTCGATCACCGCGCTCATGAAGCTTCCAGAAGTATTGCTTCTCCCATTCGGCTTCCTCACTGACTGCTGCCCCATTCGTGGGCAAAACAGGAAGCCCTACATGTTGCTGTGTCTTGGTATTTCAGCTTGTGCGCTCCTTGCCATGATTCTGCGGCCACTGCCTGACCCATACTATTGTCAACACGCTGATGGCAGATACAACTGGTATGTCCCGCCATGCAACCCTGACATCCGTGCCGACAAGAACTGGTATGTTTTCCCGCTGTTCATCCTAACCGCAGGTGGGCATCTGTCAAAGTACATGCGAGCTAGCAGCCTGAAAGGCTACGAATTTCTGAGCCCATGAAAGCATGAGATCGAAAGCCTGGACTGCCCTCAGGTGTCCAGCTGGGAACCGCCGCCGGTGAGGGCCTGCTGTTGGAGTACTCGCTGCGTGAGCCATTCGAACGCCGTGGGCAGATTAAGGCAGAGATGGATTGAAATGTTGACCTGCCTAAATTTCTTTCGGTTGATTTTTAGAGTTTTCACTGCAGGCGGAGATGACGATGGTCTCTATGGGAGGAGCCTTGGCTTCCTCTTTCGTCATTGGCCTCTTCATGAACAGCAAGCCATACTTGGGGACATTCGACTGGGGGTTGTCCTTCAGCGGTCTCATGGCCGTGTGCCTTGTTCTGGTCATCTTCCAGATCCCACTCACCATCTTTTGCATTTGCGAGCCTCAAAAGCTTGGAAAACGCTCGTCAGTCTGTGCCAATGTAAAGTCTTCGTGGGAGCTCGTTCAGAAGAAAGCATTTTCGAGCGTGCTCTTCTTTGCTTTCCTCGTCCAGTTCCTGGTTTCAATTAACACAACCGCCGGCCCAATGGTTCGGAGCCAATGGGCGGGGGTCAAGGTCCTACAGCAACAAATGTTTGGCATGGCTGGCTTGGGCGTCATGATGATTGCAACCTGGATCTACAAGGTCTGCCTCCTCCAGGCCAGCTGGAGAAGGGCTGTTTTCGTTAGCTTGGTGGCTGTGACGCTGTCCGACTCAATTCCAACGTTCCTCACGACCTTCGGTGTGGTACGCAACCAGTACTTCTACCTTGGAGAAGACATCGTCGGCTCCATCCCATTGGCTGCGGTGCAACTGGTGTCCAATCTGATGGTCATTGAACTTGCGGAGCAAGGTCGGGAAGGTCTTTGTTTTGGCCTCATCGGAACATGCCAGCACTCCAGCATCCCGTTTGCCGCGGTGGTGAGCAATCAGATCTTCGGGCTTTTCAACCCCAAGCTGTCCAAGCTTGAGAATTACATAGCAGACAATGCCGGATTCCGATCAACAGTTGCTTGGTCGTACGTGCTGACCTACAGCACCTCTCTTGTTGCCATGTTCTTGCTGCCAATGATCCCCAGCCAGAAAGCAGAGGCTCACAGGCGGAAAAAGGAGTGGAGCTCCAGCTCCCTCACAGCCAGCTTGGTCCTTGTCATTCCGGCCGTCTGCCTTATCTATGGAGTCATCATCCTGCTTCTGACCAGCCAGCCCGAGACTTGGCATGGATTGGTCCTTTGTTGTACCACTACTACTACTACGACTACTACTACTACTACTTCTACTACTACTACTACTTCTACTACTACTACTACTACTACTACTACTACTACTACTACTACTACTACTACTACTACTACTACTACTACTACTACTACTACTACCTACCTACTACCTACTACCTACTACCTACTACCTACTACCTACTACCTACTACCTACTACCTACTACCTACTACCTACTACCTACTACCTACTACCTACTACCTACTACCTACTACCTACTACCTACTACCTACTACCTACTACCTACTACCTACTACCTACTACCTACTACCTACTTACTACTACTACCTACTACCTACTACCTACTACCTACTACCTACTACCTACTACCTACTACCTACTACCTACGACCTACTACCTACTACCTCCTACCTCCTACCTCCTACCTCCTACCTCCTACCTCCTACCTCCTACCTCCTACCTCCTACTACTACTACTACTACTACTCCTGCTGCTGCTGCTCCTACTACTACTACTACTACTACTACTACTACTACTACTACTACTACTACTACTACTACTACTACTACTACTACTGCGACGACGACTGTTGATGGAGGACATCTTGCACCTGGCCAAGCAAAGTAGAGACCCCGCGCCCCCTTTGTAATGTTGACTGTTGATCCTCGGAAGGGCCGTGGGTTCCGATGACAAAACCTTGCACCTCGGTGTCCATCATCATCAATATTAAAAAGGGGGTGCGGGGTCATGCTCATGTGTCGTGTCACTTGTTATTCATGAGGTGGTGCAAGATTTCCTCCACCAACCGCACTACTCCTACCCCTACTCCTACTCCTACTCCTACTCCTACTCCTACTCCTACTACTACTACTACTACTACGACTACGACTACTACTACTACTACTACTACTACTACTACTACTACTACTACTACTACTACTACTACTACTACTCCTACTGCTCCTACTGCTCCTACTGCTCCTCCTGCTCCTCCTGCTCCTCCTGCTGCTGCTACTGCTACTGCTACTGCTACTGCTACTGCTACTGCTACTGCTACTGCTACTGCTGCTGCAACGAAGTTACTACTATTACGATTACAACAGCAGTAGACAGCAGCAGCAAGAACAACAATAGCTGTAACAACAGTCATAAGCAAGGGGGGCTAGAGGGAGGGGGCATGTTCCACAACACAGGGCTCCTGGCCGGCACCACATTGGACAGCTAAAAGACATCCTGACAATGTAAGTTGTCCTCAATTAGACGGCCTTGACTCAGGAGACGGCCTGCCTGCGTTGGATCGGCGGCCAGGGCTGCGAAGATTGAGCGGTGGCTAGAGCACAACACACGTCGAAAGTTTTTTTCATCCTAGGCTTCCTTGGCCCTGGCACAGCCTCGCTCGAGTCTGTAGCTTCTGCGGCCAAAGTGGGTAATGCCCAAAGAGTCCGTCGCGGCGAAGCCCAGGACTGACTTTTCATCGCATAGCAGCATGGCATTGTTCCGGTTGGCATGTTAAACCCTAAACATATCTGTGCATGGTTGCGTGTTAGATCCATGGGCTCTGCCGACTTAAGTTCCAACATGTCACCAAAATCCTCGCTCGGACTGCGTGTGCCAGGGTGAAGTCAAGTTTCTCCCGGGCTGCTTCAGGGACCATTCATTTACCAGAGGCGCGGTCACAAGTAAGCCGGCGCCAAGATTGTGCCCCTGACACAAAGTCAGGGCGGCGGTGTGAAGTCTTGAATACTGAATTCGAACTGCGCAAAGTAGCTGCATCAAGAACCTCCCCCCCATGGTGTCACCTTTAACTACAAAAATCATCCAGATTGCGAGATACTTGGCATCATTCAGCATCATCCTGGCATCATCTTAGTGCAGCCCATGACCGCAGCCAAGGCCTGCCAGCCTTGCAGGCCACAAAAATTGGCCGCACAAGGCTGCGGTTTTCGACGGACTCGCCACTCTTGGCTGTGTGGATCCTTTGGAGAAAGGGGTGCGCGTGTGATGTGCGCATTCCTTGTAAAGCAGACCGCGCGAAAGAAAACCGAGACGTCCAAAAAGTCCTATCCAACACAGCCATGCTTCGAAGAGACATTGCTCTTGTGCCAAGCAGGGAAGCGGTCGCGTGGTCTCAAGTTTCCGCAGGGCAGTCGCTCTTAGTTGAACCCTGAACCTCTGAAAAGCAGAGCCCAAGCAAGGCCTGATATTTCCTGAACCCATTGGATTGTGCCCCACACAGCACAGCTCTGCACACCGAGGTACCAGAGATGGCAACGTGAGGACCCCACAGGGCGGGGCAGACATGCGGATGTAGGACGCTCGTTTCTGTGTTTGAGGGTCAAAAAAGGTTTTCTTGATTTTAGGGCAGGGCTCTACAGGGCTCAAAAGTTGCAGCTCCGAGTTACCATGTCATCTCCTAATCACGAAAGCTAGTGGCTGGCGCAAGCTGGGCCTGGGCTGTGTCTTGCTGTATAGCAGTAGTAGGCCATGCCCTGCGGATCCCTGCGGAACTCTTAAGTTCGTTCAAATCCTAGTCCATTACGACGCCGTTGCCAATTTCAACTGTCAGTGCCTGGACGGCCAACTACGAAAACCACCACGCCTTCGCGGCCTCGCCGCCCAGTTGACCGGCCGGTGATGCCACGCACACATACTTCAAGCAGCTCTCGCTCGAAACACGCACAAGGTAGACATGATGCTCCTTCTTGTGCAGAGAGTTCTGTTGATAATATCATTTGGCTTTCGCGACTTGCACTGTCGTCATAAAACTAGTCTCAAAACGGTAGATAGGTCAATCTAAAAATTAGTGAAACTATAAGAACGTTATACAATTTGCTATGCTTCTTTCTTCCTTTTCCTTGCATCTTGCATCAACTTGTGCTATATGTTCTATTTCACCATCAGGTCTTATTATTACCTTTGTCAACGGACACACCCCGGTCTCAATTTCGTTACCTCCGGTGGGGAGGTTGTTGGCGGTGGTGGTGGTGGTGGTGTGGTGGGGCGAGTGCGGCGGCACGGTAGCACATGTGCTGGATGTTTCATTGCGGAATGATGTGGTGGGGTGTTGTGGCGACGTGGTGGTGGCGGTGGGGGTTGGGGTGGGGCGGTGTGGTGTGCGGTGCTGTAGAGTAGGATAGAGTGTAGTGATGGATGTGGCCGGGGGGAGTTGCTGGAGGTGTGGTGTGAGCAGGAGCACGTTTAGTGGGAGGTGTGGTGGCATGAGTTCGGTCGAGGTGTGGTCCTCTTGTGGGGTTGTGGCAGGAGCGGGGGCGCGTAGGGCTTATCCATGCAAGCGCTAAGCTTTCCACCTTCTGGCTAGCACACCAGCGACAGGTCCAGCCTTTGTTGGGTGAGTGTAATGGCAGTGTATGCGCCAACTTGAATAGCCAAAAACAAGCGACAGTTTTGAGGGAACTGCTTTCTCTCAGATTGTTTCTCAGGGAACGTTTTTTCTGAGACTTCCAGAGGAGCCGCTTCTTGTCCTTTCTTCGGGCGCTCTGGTGCCGGCGCCTGGGGGTGAACCGAGACCTTGGCCGCAAACAAGAGTTTTTGCTTCGATCATCCCCCCCCCCCCACCCTGCGATGTGGGACCCGCTACTTGCGGATACTTCGCCGCAGGCTACTTGTTGTGGGATTCTGTGCGATTCTGTGCGGCATTCTCTGAAGGTGGGCACTCCAGGCTTCGGCGGGACTCTCTGCGGGCTCAACCCCAGGGAAAAAATGCAGCAAAAGATGGCTGCCTTTCGGTTAATTCGTGATCGATTCGATTCAGGGATATTGGGCCGTTTGCAGATATTTGTGGGCCTATGTTTGGCACCAGACGTACGGGCTTGACTCACCTAGACAAAGCCCAAGTGCTGGGGGGACTGGGTTCCTTCAGAGTCGAAGCGGCCCCAGTCTCTTAAGCATGGGGGCTTAGGGGCTTGCCGTTCTGGTTGGCCCTTTTTGGGATAGTCCGAAAGAGCGAGCGAAAAGTCAACTTGTCTTCTCATTTCTTGTCGCGACTTGTTCCCTTTGCTACGCAAGTTTCCCACGATTTTGAGCGTCCAAGAAGATGGGGCATGATGGGCACATGGTGGCCATAACAGGGACCATCTGGAGGTAGGAGATGCAGCCGGGAGATCACACCATTCTCAGAAGTTTAAAACTGACAGTAGCCCCACACCGAAGATGGGAAACAACTGCCAAGCGGGATTTTCCTAGCTGCTGAATGTCGGCTTTCTTGACGTTTCATGAAATCTCGTGGTGGTTCGCACTTTGTGGCTGAAGCTGTTTTTTCTTTTAAGGCTTTCTTGCTTGTGAAGAGACATTCCGACTTTGTTCACTTCTCGGGACTCTTCTCGGCTTTGGACTTCTGGCGATGTTGTGTTGCTGTTGTGCTTTGGCACAATTCGGGCCGATGCTAGAAAACCTGGGTGCTCCATATTGGTCCTCGCCTGCGCTCCTCTGCACCGCCGTGCAGAGCCTCGCGGAATCAGGAAGGCAGGGCTGTGCCGGCTGAAATGCTGGTTCTGGGCCAGGCTCAAGTGTTCTGGAGACGAGCGGGCAGATGGGGAGCACCCGGCATTGAGGGCTGCGAGGATAGCGGTGTGCTCGACCAGCAAGTTTGCAGAGTGTTCTGTCGGTTCAGTTTTTTGCGCCCTCAAAAGTATATACGTTCATAGGTGTGGTGTGTGGTCCGTGGTTCATGTTTGCTCGGGTTGTGCCCGAGACTGCCGTTGAACAAGTGGAAAGCCAGGCCGCGGCGTGTGCGCTCCATGAAAAGTCTTTGTTAAAGACAACCCTGCGCGTGGCCCACTGGTCCTGGCAGAGTACTGGGGTTGAGAAGTCTTTTTTCAGCCCCCTCTGCACCTCCTCGCACGAGCCCTATCAGCAAAGTTCGACTGCATTGCAGCGCAGTACAGTGCAGCGTGACTCAGTGCAAGTCATTGCATCGAGACTTATGCAACGGCACATTGCAGCACAGTCTAGCGCAACGCGGCCCGTCCAGCCCTGAGGCCACGCCCACCATGATTCTACTATTTGAGACTTTCCACCAGCTAGAACCTTAAGAGTTTTCACGCTTTCTCGCAGAGTTTCGTTTTGACAAGGGTTGGAGGCCGAGTGCAGAGTGTGGCTCGAGATGCTGCAGGTTTGTCAAGAGTCCTGTAGCCATTACCAACAAGTCTAAATACAGAGTTTGCACGGGTCCCTGGCAGTGGTTTGCGCTATTAGGTGCACAGGCGATCACACGGGATAGCAGGATAACCTTTATTGCTTTTGCATGTTCATCAGGCCAGATTCTTGTGATACAAGTTAGTCAGGGTTAGTCGATCGGCAAAGATTTGCAGAAAAAAACCGCCGGATTTTTCGGACAAATTTCCCACCCGCCCGCCCCTGAGATAGGGAGCTGTGGCCAGCGGGACTCATCAATTGGCCGAAGTTGCATCCTTTGGTTTGTGTGATGCGTGGCTTGCCCGAGCTAAGCACACGACAAGCATCTTTAGGCTTAGACAGTAGAGCTCCGAAGTGGGAAGCGAACCAGCTCGACAGGTGGCAGGCAGTGGCAGGAATCCGAATGACTCAAGCCTCAGACCTAAGACTGGATCTCGAAGCCCTAGAAGCCCTCAAGTTAGCTGTTTGAAGTAGCAGCAAACGATGTCAAAGGAGAGGTGACCGACTACCTCAGGGACCTACCCGAGGAGATTCAGGTGGAGCACAGTTTGGGGTTTCTTCTAAAAGACAAGAAGGGAAGCAAGGTCTTGAAGTTCTTCAATTCTTCGAATGCTTTTTCCTTCCAGCTTCGGCCGTTTTGAAGGAAGCTGCCAGAGGTGCGGTGGCGGTACGGTGGCGTCAGGGTGGCGTTCAGGTCCAAGGGTCAAGGGGTTGACATGTGTTGACATGTGTTGACTAGGTTGACGTCGCCCTTGCCGGCAGCTGCAAAGCCTTGAGCCGTTCAGCCCCAGGTCCAAGCAAACGGCTCCGTTCTGCCGAGTTTCCCAGTGCGCCACGAAATAGCACTGTGTAAAATGCACTAGATAAGGCAGCCGACACGGCAATGGTAGAGTGGTGAAAGCTCAGGCTTAGTTGATGGCGAGCCTTGAGGCCTGAGCTGAAAGCTTCGCCTTGCAATACAGGTCGAGGTCATAAAGGAGTTCGACCCGCGAGGAACAAAGGACGTGGGGGATGACCAACGCAAACTGCCCCTGACGCCTGCGGTATGATTTTCGTTGAACGGGTGCAGCCACACGCATGCCCGGTTCCTTTCAGGATGGAAACGTCTCCGCGCGACTCTACAGCTTCGCGTACGGTCGCATACGAGGACGTGCCCCAAAGGCTCGTTCCATGACGTAGATTGCTGTCAGAAGTTTAACATGTTGAGCCCGTGATACCCAATGACGCTAGAGACATATCAACAGTGTTGTATCCCGCAACGGCAATAAGCAGACCTGGCAATCGCAGTCCAAGCTGCAAGAACTACTAGGCCCGGAGCCCTCTGCAACCTCAAATCTTGAGTGGTTAAATCGGGTCCCCGCTTGTCCGAGTTCTTCGAGCATGTAAAGCCCAAGAGCATTCAGCAAATGCCAGAAAGCCAACAGGGCCTCCGTGACCCTCACGAGCTGGAGGGTTTTGTGCGGCATTGGGGCCTGGACTCCTCCGCCGGAGAGGCGGGTCACAGGATGGATGCTTTGAGTGATGGCGACTTCCAACAACACTGAAACTTGCATGGGGTTCCTGGGCTAGTTTGGCTACAGTTGCAGATAGTTATGCATGAATCGCCTGCTGAACCTTAAACTTCAACATGGTCCAAAGTTCAGCCGTGGTCGGCCGAACATCCACAATCTGCATGTCCTCACTCCTTAACTGTTTGTCTCTGGCGCTGTGGCCTTGATCTCGGTCACGAGACACCGAACCACTAAAATTGGTACACGATGTGACGGTGCAGGTTCTCGAAGCGCTGCCGGACGAGGTGCTCATCGAGGCACGGGACTAGGTTTTACAGGTTGAACATTGAAGTTTTAGTGTGCTTATGTTGGTCGTTTTGGCTTCTTGTCCAGGGTTTTGCTGCTCTTTTTGAGACAGCGCTGCTTCGAGCTCGGATTTGACTTTCGGGGCTCTGGGACCCCCAGAAGATCCCTGCAGTTGAGGTTGCAATTTAGATCTTATGTGTTCGGTTGCTCTTTGTTGCTTCTTGCTTGTTTCCTTGGTTTTTGTCCATGGGCTGCATGTGGATCATCTGTGCTTTTGTTGTTCTTGGGTGCTTTTTGTTTGGTGTATCGGGTTTAAGTGATATATTTTGTTGGATGAATTAGTATTTACATCGTTTAGTCTACTATTAACACTATCATCACCTAAAATCATGTGTGGTAATAGAAAACTTACCATTATGAAGATTTAGTATATATGTATATGTATATATATATATGTATATATATATGTATATATATATATGTATATATATATATGTATGTATATATGTATATATATATATGTATATATATGTATATATATGTATATATATGTATATATATATATATATATATATGTATATATATATATATATATATATTTGTCCCCAAACAGTCTGCTGTTGGGGTTCTAAATTCATTCAAGGATTGCCGACGTTCTGAGGACTGTTGCCGGGTTCCTGGGCTCCTTGTCTCCCTTTGTCTCCCTTTGTCTCCCTTTGTCTCCCTTTGTCTCCCTTTGTCTCCCTTTGTCTCCCTTTGTCTCCCTTTGTCTCCCTTCATGTGGGTGGCTTTGCGGGGTTGCTGTCTCCCTTTGTTTCCCTTCGTCTCCTTTTGTCCCCCGTTGTCTCCACTGTTTCTTTGACGTGCCTTTGACTGTTTGGGGTCTTCGGTGGTGTAATTGCAATTTCATTTTTACATGAAATAGAAATAACTAAGTTATTGAATACATTTTCATTTAGCAAAAAATAAATAATAATGATATATGCATATTTTTTTCCAATATTAAATCTTTCCTACTTCAATGGCGTGTCAAAGTCGCTTATATAATATGAATGGTGAATTAATTACACACAGTCGGGCTTGGGGTCTGGGTTTTGGGGTGAGGTTATGGGGTTAAGGTGAAGGGGTTAGGGAAGCACTCCACCAGATTGCCAGCAGATTGCTGCAAACGCAGCTTGTTGCACACCCTAAGCCTCAAAGCCTCAAGGCAAGAAATGCAGAGAGGTTTGACCTGGAAAAGGAAAGCACAGCAAGCTACTCTATGGTTTCCAGAGAAGCTCTTGTTTGCTCCCGTCTTTCTCTTATTGCCTGGGCCTACGGGGCAGAACCCTTGCGCCTCAACTAAACTCCTAAGCCCAAACCCCTCACGTCTAAACTCATACACCCAAACCCCTGAAATCTAAACCCAAATCCCTCAAGCTCAAGTCCACAAGTCTAAACTCCTAAAACCAAACCTCTCAAGTATAAGTAAGCTGACTGCAATTTCACCCCTGTTCGGACGAGTGGCTGTAAATTCTCCTGTCTGAGGCTTTCTGGTTGGAAGTTCTCCCGTTCGGTGCCCTTGCAGTTGCAAAATGGCTGTTCTGGTTGTAATTTAACCGATCTGGTTGTAAATTCCCTTGTTCTCAGACCCCCCCCCCCTCCTCCCCGCCCCCGCAGCAAAACAAACCACCCCCCCATCCACCTACCTCAATTGGAACCTGCCCCTACCTTTCTTTTTATTCACAACATGTGTCAGAAGGGATGAGATTTAAAGTGGACCTACATAGTGTTGTACTTGTTTCTTCATTAGGTCCCAGAGCTTCCGAAAACTCAACTCCCAACTGCAAGCAGCACTACCTCAAAACAGCTCAGTAGCAGGACAAATATAACGACACAAACTTGAAGCAGCAAAGTACAACCACACAAATGAGATGTAGATCTGAATTTCAGGCATCCATGCCCAACCCCTCCCCCCCTCCCCTTCCCCACCCTCCCCTCCCCCGTGCCTTCTTGTCGTCCACTGTGCGCGCTTCTTTTTTTCTTTCGAAAGCACGGACTGAATTTCGCTTTCAAGCAGGAGGCGAGGCAGTAAGGAGATCCTGCCGCTTCGGTCGCAGCACATTTTAGCTCGTTTTCACCTCGAAAACACGCTACTTTCGCTTCGATTCTCAGCACTCACGTGCGGTGCCAGGCTCGACACTCTCATTTCTGGATTGGACTGAAGGGCAATGAAGGGCACATCGCTCACTTGTGACATGTTGTGACTATCGTTTTAGAGGCAGCGATTCTACTTTTGCTTTCACTTGCGACGCTACACTTGCGTTTGACCTCAACCGAACTCACCTTCGACTGTTTAAACCACAAGACTCGGCTGCGGCGTTTTGTGGGCTTAGGGGGCTTGTTTAAGTGCTTATATATAGGGCTTCGGGTTTAGGTCTCAGGGTTTAATTCAAAGCGCAGGGCTCAGAGTTCAGATCCTATAGGGATTTCTCTCATGAAAAACAAAGGGCGTAGTTGCATAGCTCAACCCCGAACCGACCACAGAAGGATAGTGTTAGCCGTTGGCGGAAGTGCAAGTATCTTGTGTATGCGGGCTTTCATCTTGGCCGCCTTGGCCCTATGATTACCCTGACTTTCACAGCCTCCGCCCAAGTTCTTGTACAAAAGCACATTAAAGGCGCTACATCACTATGCCTTGGCAGGTACTGCAGGGGTTTGATGCAAGCAGCACCCGTGACGGAAACGTCAAGGGACGATTCCTCGGCTACGTACGGAGGAAGTGGGCACAGCACTTCGAGTTGGAGGATGCTGCTCGGAGTCTTCAATAAGTGGGAAATATACCAGGCAACTACTTACTAGGCTTTTCCTTAAGGAGTCCAAGCCATCCTGCAAGTGACAGTGTTCCGGCTGAGGACTGCATCTACTCCATAAAGCGGCTTCCTGAAGAATGTCAAATACTTTGCCTGACCACCTTTGACCCATGGACAACTCGAGATGGTGCCTCGCCTAGGATAGGGCGGATAGGGCATCCTCACATCCTTCCGGATCTGACCTGAAGCCGGCTTTGCTGCAAGACATCGTTTCGGGCTTGTGCTCACATGCCTTGGCATCCTTGGGGGCACTGCTGAGGCAACATCTCCGCTCGCTTGAGGAGCTTCCTCTGGAAGATAGCAGCTAGACTTCACTGGGGCTCAGTTCTTGCCTGCGTCGCCAGATGCCTGCGTCGCCCGATGCTTGCGTCGCCCGATGCTTGCGTCGAAGTCTATGGCTAAGGAGGCCGAAATGAGCGAACAAGTCCGAGTCTCAGCTGTGGGCAACTAGTGCAGCATTCTGGTGGAAGTATCGTTGTTCAGAGATCGAGGCCAGGTGGTATGACAACTCGTCCCGCTTTGGCTCCAAGAGCTACCGCCAGGGCGGTCGCGATCGCTATGATGACTATGGCTACGATTATCATGAGTATGATGACGCACGGCCACGTGCAAACAGAGCCACCCGCGATGCCATTTTGAAGCATCTTGGCCTACTTGAGTATGCAGTAATGCCCTCAACATCCCTCAACACCCTCAACACCCCTGCTGGTCTTGAGTCATGATGACCATGTACCAACATAGAGGTCCATCCGCGAGAAGGGCACCTCAGACCTTCCCACTCTCCCACACTCAAAGCCCCCCCAACGCCCCAAAGCTCTGCTACCTCTGCTACCTCTGCTACAAGCCCGGGCCTGATAGCCTTCGAGGTTCGTTGCCCGTTGGGACCTGGATCTGGCAACTGGCGCATACCTGGAGAACTTGAAGGTGAGGTTTAAGCCGCTCGAGGGTTTGAGGCGACTGTGCAGTACATAGTACATAGGCAAGCGTGGGACATGTGTGCCTCACCTAGTTACATGATGTTGCATGGAGGGCTTGGTCAGGCTGTGCGCTTTGTCTCTGTCTCCGTCTCCGTCTCTGTCTCTGTCACTGTCTGTGTCTCTGCCTCTGCCTCTGCCTCTGTCTCTGTCTCTGTCTCTGTGTGTGTGTGTGTGTGTGTGTGTGTGTGTGTGTGTGTGTGTGTGTGTTTCTTTTTTGCTATGAGAGGGGCCACTGGAATCTTGACAAGAGCCAAGAGACCGTGAGGATCCTGATGTGCTGGCGCGGGTGCTCGAGGAATTCGACCCCACCGGCACGCAGGCTTTGAGGGACATGACGGAGATCTAAGGAATAAGAAGCTGAAACTTGCAGCGCTGGGCGAAGGATGGCAATGTCCTGGGCCGCCTCAAGGCCAATCCTGTCATTTGTTGTTTCTCGCCCTCGCGGTGTGGAGCCGTTCAGCTATTCTCCGCTTTCTTCTCCAGGCACAGGTCGCCCCTAGAGAAACCCACAGGTAATCAGTGCCCAATCGTCAATCCCAGATGATCGCTACGGTGCCCATCAACTTGCTCAGGATCAGTGCGGGATGTCGGATGTGGAGTTTGGACAGGGTTTGAAGGCTTTGAAGGTTGGGGCTTCTGAAAGAATGGAGATGAACAAGTAGCATGCAGTGCGTAGTAAGCAGAAGTCACGAGGTTTCAGAGGTTTACTTCCAGATGCAAATGCAAGTGCTAAGTTCGTGTCCGAGGGCTTGAAGGACTTGAAGGACTTGAAGCTGAATCACCGGTCTTTGCGAAACCTGCCAAACGGCGACCAACATGACAGGCCTTCGTCCGCCTCCTGAGCTCCCGGCGGAAGCGGGGGGAGCTGGTTTTGGAGGCGAAGCGAAATTGGATCTGTGGGGGCATGGGGGAAGTGGGGGGAGGGGCTTCAAGTTTTGGTGAGTTTTGGGTGTTGTGACATGTTGTGGGTGTTGATTCAGCGCAGGCCTTGTCAGTATGCATAGGCAAGAAGCCTGGCCCCCTCTAGCTCTCGACCATGGAAATCCACGAAACACCATTACTGGAGGCGAAGCGTGGCCGTGGAAGGTGCTGCGAGAGGGGGGCGGCCAGGTTGTTAAGGGCTGTCGGGCTTCTACCTGATATACACCCCCCGCATCCCCCCGCACCCCCCACACCCCGCCGTGGTGTATGGGCTCGCACCCCCTAAACCCTGAGACCTGAACCGTGCAACCCAACCCTTTTTGAACCAGAATCCTGCAACCCTAAACCCTAAAACCGTAAACCTGATGGCCCAGACCCTGAAAACCCTAAGCCCTGAGCCCCAAACCTACCCCAATAGTGTGGCTGTGGGTTGGGATTAGGGTTTAGGGCTTTCGGGCTTAGGGATTTTAGGGTTTAGAGGTTTAGGGGCTTTTAGGTAAGGTTTTAGGGCGTAGGGTGTTGAGGGTTTAGGCCCAAGGGTTATATGGGGTTTACAGTTTTGGGGTTTAGGGCTTTTGGTTTTAGGGCTGAGGGTCGTAGGGTTGTGGGGTTTTAGGGTTTGGGGCTTCGGGTTTTTGGTTTTAACTCCTCGGGTTGCAGGAGACCGTATACCATGGGCGGGCCGGGAGCGACTGTTCGGGTCCGACCCCCTCCCCCTCGATCCGGGAGGAGGGGGAGGGACAGCGCACGGTAGCCTACCTCTCTGCTTGTCTTCCTGCATCTGTCGACTGCGTTTTTGGGACTGTTCACCACTTTGGATCCGTTTTGTCTAGAACACATGTTCTTTTGCGACAGTACAGCACTTTCGAGGCCTGGGACTGCAAGAACCCTGTACGGTCCCAAAAAACCAATCCTTTTTCAGCAAGAAAGCAAAAAGCGCTGTACTGTCCATTTGAAACTTCCAGGCAGTAATTACAGTTTTTTTTCACTCCAAAGCGCTGTACTGTCCCCGAGAGAAGAATTAAGTTTTCAGCAAAAACACTGTGCTGTCCCAAAAAACAAAAACAAACCACTCTTTTGGAAACCCTGTCGATTCAATTCGTTGGATAGATGTCATCGTGCTTTTGAACTGCAGGCCATATGGTTGGTAATTCAATGACTAGTTTCATTGGCCTCGTAATTGCCCAAAAAATGCCCCCTGACTTTAATTCTCATTTGGCACAGCCCAATTTTTCTCACCACCCTGGTGTGGGGTTGTTAAATTTTAAACTCAACTCTTCTCCTGCCCGGAACTCTTCTCCTAGCCTCGCCCGGTCTGCTCCTCGCTCATCCCTGGAGTGCCCAACCCAGACCCAGTGTGTCCCTGGAGTGCCCAACCCCAGAGTGTCCCTAGAATGCCCAACCCCGGAGTATCTCTACCCAGAGAGGGTGGGGATGTTCGAAGAACAATATTTCCAATATTCCCGGCTGTTCACTTGAGCCTGAACTTGAGGGAATGAATTTCATACTAGGAAGTGGAAGAGTGCAACCCTGTAAGTTCAACTGGCTCAATGGGCGAGAGCATGTTTTTTTTTTCAGTTGCAAGCCATTTAGTGCTTGAAATCAACGAAGCGTTTTCCTAGTACACTCAACGGATGAAATCATGTTTTTCAGTTGCAAGCCATTTAAAATTACAAAGACAACTAGGCCCTAATTATAGCGATCATTTGGCACAGTAAGTTGTCCCAATAGCTGTCCTTCACACTCTTCCCATATTCGCGGCCGTTTAAACTCAAGGGACTGAACATCTGCGTAGTAGGAGCGAAATTTTGTAAGTTCGTTTTTCAGTTGCAAGCCATGGGGAATTTAAATTTAAGGAGCAGTATGTAACTAGCCCCCCTTTGACAAAAATACTAGCCCATGACTACAACGATCATTTGCCACACCAGTTGCCGTCCTTCATTCTCTTCCATGATTCCCGACTACTCGAACAATATAAGTTTAACAACCTCTAACTTGCCTCCAAGTATGTTTTTTTTAATTTAGCTGAATGATCGACATATGGAACTACTTGCTAAAGAGTTTTCTGTAAGCTTTTTCGTGACATATGTCGATGCATCCCGCACCGCGTCCTACTGTAATTGCCCATGGCTGCTCACAATCAATAATCGACATACACCCTTGCACATGACAGTATTGGCTTAGGATCAAGATCTCTGGCTTAGGTGTTGCAAATCTGGCAGAGCCCCTTCAAAACTCAATCGTCTTCGCGAATTCCGTGCGAAAAGCAGTCGTGGAGCGCCACCCTGCACATCTGTATTGCATTGAGCACACCTTAAACAGCCATCGGTTCAAGACACATGTTCAAAATCACAAAAGGTTGGAGCAGGGGGGGGGTAGTAGAAAGCACATATACTCGACACATGTGCGTGCTTCGCATGCACTTAGCGTCTGCATCCTTGCTATGTAAGCGTGCATTGAGCAAACAGGGTCGGGCAGGCAGACAGCAGAGAGTAGTCAGCCAATGGGGTCGGACCGGGAGAATCTGAAGCCTCTAAGAATCTTAGGTGGGCCCCTGAAAACGAGCAAACGGTGCCACGAGCCTTCAAGGAGAGCATTTCCTGTATGTGGCCAGCAGAATCCCCACATCGCACAGCGCAAGTTGGGCCAGTTCAAGGCAGAGAAGCGAAAATCACCCATATCTATAAATCTAGATCTTTCTTTCCGTGTAATCATGTGTCATACAGATAAAGCTGGAGAGACGCCAGCGTGTCATCGGGTTGCTCCACTCCTCATGTCCGACCGGCAGAGCATCTTTGGGCTTTCCTTCCCCCCACCCCCCCTGCAAAAACACACGTCCAAAGCAGAATCCAAAGAGAATATGGCGATCTGCAAACCGCCCGCACGGAAGGTGCAACAACTCTACCTCTCTCTCTTTCTCTGCATATTGTCAGGCTGAGACGTGTTTCAGAAAATCTACCCATCTATTCGCTTATCTCAAATGCTCATGTGTATTTAAATGTGGGCAACGGTGCGCTTTCGCGAGCTAGCCTGACGCTCGGTAACACACAGTCCATTGATGCACTGACATGCAGCTTCCTCGCACCATCATGAACACGAGACCTTGAGCCACACCAAGCCCAAAGGCCCATCTGCAGACGTCGGTGCGTGCCAGGAGGGAGAAGTGGCAGAAGAAAGTCGTCAACGATGATGGCTGCAGCCTCAGTGCTTCATGACCTCAAGCCGCATTGCCAGGAGTCAAGCTTGCCCTTGATCTCTAGCAGCGTTCCGTACCCCAAAGTGTTAGCTTCGCCTTCGCGTTCCTTTGAATTGTGATTTTTGTGCAAACCTTGAACCCAAGGCCCCATTTTAAGGTTCAGGATTCCTTTGCATCAACGAATTGTGGTGTTTTGCGTGTCTGTAAGCATAGATCCAATCTTCTGAGATGCTTCTGGTACTGCATCATCAGTTGGTGTATATGGTGTATTGTTTTGAGACGTGCTTGTTGACCCATGTATTTCTCAACCTGTTGTGCTTTTCCTTTTGGTGAAGGGCTCAGGAAAGCAAGTACTACTTTATGTACCGTTTTGGTTCAGGTCAATATGCAATCTTTTGCTACACGATCTGTGCTGTCGTGAGGTCAGGGTGTTGTTTGCGGACTTCTGTTATACAGTTACGCCGCTGTGCTATTGAACACGCATAGATGCAAGGTGATTATAACAACAAGGCAACACATCCGGAGATTGCGGTTCCTGGTACAGAACCCTTGAAAGGGTCTTGACATTTCTCACAATATACAACATAATCTGCCGCGATGTGTCGAGCAAGATGTGGTGTGTTTACGCAACAATCAGACTGATTGCACAAAAAAGAAAGACATATAGTACTGAAATAGACAGTGACATACTCCCAGTTGCTGAGGTCGTTGCGTTTTCCTTTTTTCAGCGGCAGACATTGGGGGGAAGCTTTCTTGTGAGGTCGTTGCGTTTGGGTGTGCCCCTGGGGGAAATGTTTGTAGTATTATCATTGTCAACGCCGTTTGCGTGGAGTCGACACATATAAATTTATTTAGATCAGGCAACGCTAGCAAAATCCCATGTCGAACTCTAAACCCCTAAGCCCTGCAGCTAAAGCCTGAACTCTAAACCTGCATTTGGGGCCCCGGGGTATCGTAGAGGTATCGTTGAGGTATCGTTCGGATATCGTTAGGGGTGCAACCAGATTTCACCAACCTTAAGCCACGAGGGAGCGGATGGCACATGGAAAGAATCTTTGCCGGGTGGCAAGTGTCCGGGTTTAACCCTAAACCCTGTACTCTGCTTAAACCTAAAGCCTACACCCTAAGGGCCTAAACCCCAAACACCAACCCTTAAACTAAACCCAACACCGCAGCAGAGGGTTCGGGAGAAGCCGTCGAAGAATCAGGGCTGAGTGCATGGGGAACTTCCGTATTGCGGGACGTTGTGGTGGTTTTAGATCTTTACTGGGAACTTTTTTAGGCTTTGGGGAGCGTGTGGTTAGTTGGTCTGCAAGCGTGTGCCACTGGGAAAATGGGGTCTGTGTTGGGCATTTGTTTACGTTTCGGGGCATGCAGTGCGCAGTGGTCCGCGGACGTGTGCCCCTGCAGAAACAGGAAATGCAAGGACTTTGCAGGGACCCCCCTCGTTGCGGGTGTGCCACTCGGGGAATGTATAAGAAACACCAGATGCAAGGACTTAGTCGCTGAGGAGTATAACTCGAGGCGCACAGAAGTGACAAAGATCCCAGAATGAACATAGTTGCCACCAAAAGGGCCTGTGGTGTTGGGCTGGTGAGTAGCCACGAGTAGCCCCTGTGGTTGGCCTCCTGGTCCTGAAATAAAGCTACGCCACGTGGCCTGCGGAGTACCCATACACCCACAACTTACAACATTGAATGTGAGTACTGCTAAACAATCAAGCGGTTGTGTTTATGGTTATTCTTCCCCACTCTCGGTGTGCTGTGTGATGTTTTAGCTCAGCAGCTCTCCTCACCCGGCTATCATAGTATCCCTTGAGTATTCCTAGAGAGTCCTGCAGAGAATCTTACAAAGTATGCCTGCAGTGCCCGCTCGCAGAGAATCCTACAGAGAGTCCCACAGAGCATATGTGCATCGACTGGAGTTCCCATGCTCACAGAATCCTGCAGAGAATCTTGAGTGCCCGCTGCAGATAATCCCGAAGAGTATCCCGAGCATTTCGCAAGCCAGGTCAAGCAGCTGCGTTTAGTGAGTATGACGGCTAGCTCAACAGGATTGGCAGAGTCGCAATGGACGTGCCATGCTTAACGTAGAAGTTTCGAAGTTGCCAGGACGTTTGTGCCTCAAAGCCAGACCTCGAGGTACAAAGCCTTGACAAGTGGAAGTCGCCAGAGGGCAGCACCCCAGTCACTTACTCGTGCACACGATCAGCAAGTCTGGCGGCACTCCTGGCACACTGTCTTATTGAGAAAGCACTTTGCTTGCATCTGATCTGGGCTCCGGGTGGACGCATGTGGTACTTGACAAGCTTGTGCCCACTAGCTGTTCCTGGTGCACAGCACGCAGCATGTCTCCTAGCTGACTACAATCTCCCAATGGGGCTTAAGTCGGCTTAAGTGCGGCATTGAAACAGGTAGTGCGCTGGCATTGCAGGGACATGCAGGGGCCCATGAGATGCAAAGGAGGTGTGACAGGAAAAGCGGAGTTGCCAATTTTCATGGACTCGTCGATGCCGTGAGTTTATTTCTGTGCGAATGAAAGCCGAATGAGTCCGTGATGCTCCCGCCTTGTCCCAAGCCTACAAGCAGCGTGGAGAAAAGGCTTCGCGTTCTTGGATGATGTTTAGAGGCCAACTCTTCCCAAACAGCCTCTGCAGTGACTCTGTGTGGCCTTAAGCCTTAAGCTTAACGTCTTGAAGAAGCAGAAGAGCTCAGGAGGGCCTTTTTTTTTTTGGGGGGGGGGGGGGGGGGGGGCTCTCAGTTAAGAAGCCGCGGGAACGATGGAAGTTCTTACGCAAGGCCCCAAGCCAAAAGGATGAGTATGCACATGGAATCCCAGTGTCCGACGCCCCTCAGTGCCAATGAACTAAGATAAAAGTCCTGAAGTGAAACTCCTGCCGGCCCCTGAAATCAAGACTGCCCCGAGGTGCAGTCGTCTCGGCAGTGCTGCAGCCACTCCCGCAGATTTGGCGCGAGCGAAAATTCCAACCAGAGAGTGATGCTAGTGTGCACGTGCATCTTGCATTTCTCGTGGTGCTTGCTTTGGCTGGATTGGCTCAGGAGTAGGCTCATGCTGCAAGTCTTGCCAGACCTTCCAGTGCAAACACAATGCAGAGTTTGGGGTGAGCACCTGTGGGTCTGCAACACTGAGTATTGTTGCATTTTCATCGAACCTGTTCGGGCAGTATGGCCCATCCTGCCAGGACAGGGCTTCTGCCTAGCCTTGGCAGAGGTGCTTCAGGCATTCCCAGGCGAGCTGGCGACAGCCTGGGATCCCAGCAATTGGTTCGCAGTGTGAGGGCAGTCTCAGATGAGTTCAGATTCCATGAATATTCACAGCCGGAGGCTGACGACCCTCAAAGTTTTTAGAGCGGTACGCCGTGGCGGTGTGTAATCGTGATGTTCAGATTGTGAGTAGTTTTTTTTTCGGGAGCCTTGTCACTGTCTTCACAGGCTGAAGGCTTTGGGGAGTTGGGGGTGGGACCTGGATATCTAGAATCTAGATGATTGCGTTCGATGTCACAGACGGTTTACCCGAGAAGACATGACCCGCACTCAGAAACCTCTTAAGTGACAGAAGTGGGGAAGGCTTGAACTCTGGCATGAAGTGCCTCAACAGGTCCGCGCATGTAAGTGTTTCTGCTGCGAGATGGTGCAGAAGTGCGAGCCTGCGGATTGGAAGTAGTAAAACTTGTCGAAAGCGCATCATGGTGTCTACGTGCACCGTCGAAGATGATTGAAAAGTTTGATGGGTTCTGAGGGGATCCTCGATGCATTTCGGTCTTCGTTTTCCCTGACGATACTCCAAACTAATGGGCAGAAGGGGGGGCAGGGTTCCTCCGAGAACCTGAAGGGGTGGCACAGTCCAGAGCAGAACTGGCTTTGCCGGCTCTGCCCACTGTGTTCGTCACGGCGTGTTTCGTCCCGGTTCCAGATCGTGGTCTGTGACTGCCAGTTGGAGCTTGAAGACCATTCTGTCCTTCCACTGCCGTGGTGTCAAAGCAACTTGGGTGTCACCACGGGACGGGAATGTGCGGGCTCGGGGGTTAATATGTTGAGACCGGTGGTCGCCATTGGTTTCACTCGTGTGGCATCCACAACCGCAGCTCTGCACTTTATCGTCGTCAAGTCTTGAGAAAGCACGCCGCACGCTGGCTGCGCACATCATCAAGACTGGGGTGGCGATGTCACAGAGAGCTGTGGTTTGCTGATGCTGCGCTAGCCAAACTACTGGGGACCATCTGTCTCAGTACATTTATATAACGCCGCAGTCCTATATATGTCTGTGCAGACACAGTAGGCACAACAATGTCAAAGTGATCGACCCCGAGGTGTTGCACATGTCAATCCTTGACTCGATGAGACAGAATTTGCAGTCACGGCCACTGCGCCCACCGCGTACGTCGCCGCAAGATCTCTACACCTACCCAGCCGAGATGCATGGTTGACATCGCTTCTTGATCGTGTGGCCACGAATTGTTCGTTCCTTGCAACACGACAAAAGCTCCCATCATCGTCTAGATGAATGGTCACCGAGATCACTGGTAATATGACAGAGTGGAACGAGCTGCTCCAGCAACATCGGCAGGATGGGTGTTTTGAATCACCCAAGATTCGAGGATGCCCTGCACGCCCTCCCAAGAGGGTGTCGCGCGCATATCGCACTACCGAAATCATCTTCTCGGCGCCTCGTGCGCGCAGACGTAGCCACGTTGGTACATTCCGCCCTCTGCACAACACTGTTCATGTATTGGGTAAGGGGAAGGGTTCTGCTATTTCGTTTAGCGGGTCCGCCACTACATGATTCTCCCCTATATGAGGGCGGCATGAAGTATGTTTAAGTTGCCTTACCGGCTTCAGGGCCTTCAGGCTCTGGGAAATGCATCTTGTTGGGAGGATCTGCCACTTGTACGTCTGCAGCAGTGCTTTCGTGAAGGAGGACTCATAACAAATCGCACCAGCATACCTGGACGTGCTCGCTCTATGTTTACCGTAGTCCTGTCGAGGTTCTGAAACTGGTGGATCAAACCTCGGAGCTCCAGTCTGGCCTGAAGGCCACACCAGTGCCGATCGGGGCTTTGTTGCGGTTGAGGACGTTCCATAGTTCTCCTCTTCATGTTCATGAGAAACAGGTATTGCGCGGAACATGTCAGTGAACATCTGCTCAAAGGATTTCGACCTTGCACGTGCTACGAAGATTGTATGCCGCTGACAGCACCCGCTTCGCATTCAGGCATTCCGCCTGGCATGCGGTTCTGGCTTTGGGCTTAAGCGGCTCAGGCTTTCTGATGCAAGGAGGGTCGAAGCACTCAGGTGAGTTTGGGCTTCGGCCTAGGGTTCGTTGCGGGTCAAGGCTGAAGCGCTAGAGTTGCTAAAGCCCACTTTGGCCAGAGGTCCCCCCCCACATCCTACAATGCAGGGCTCTGAAATATCTGTGAACTCCAAGCCGGGCCCAAGCCGGGCGCATGGTTCAGGCCACGGAGCAGAAAGAGCGACTGCTGGGACGGCTGCTCGTTTATGCAGCGGTGCTGCAGGTCTTCGGGGAGGGATGGAATGCCAGCGCTGAACCCCGACCATCCCTGGAAATAGGCTTCATGAGCACTGCGTTTCTGATTACGGACGGTAGCTGACAGACCCGGGTCTGCAAGAGAGAGAGAGAGAGATTCCTCTGTTCAGCAAATTTTGTGCACGACTTGGAGAATTGCTCAAATTCAAGCCTTCTTGCCAGACGGCCCAAGAAAGTTTTGCAGCCCATTGTGGGCCCATCACGGCCCTGTGGGGTTGAGGAGAAGGGCCTCCGGGGCTACTAGCTGTTCCCCATCGCGCCATGGCTAGGAAAACATTCCCGATGTTGGTACAGGACCGTGCTCCGAGTCTGCTGCCCTTCTACGGCTGAAGGTGTCATATCCCTGTCCTGTGTGACAGGACACATCCGACTCGGACAACCAGTTCCTGAGTGGCAAGCTGAAAGTTTGCTGAAGGTTGAGAATGTCTGTCCACCCCCCTCCCACAGATCTAAATATTTGGTCCCCCCTGAGTTATTTGCCTATTTGGTCCTCTTCTACAGGTTTATATGAGCCGATGGGATTTGCATGGGCCCCGGTTTGAAGATTGAAGATTCCCAGAAAAGCCTTTGAGGGAATCTTCAATCTTCATTCTTCAATCCGGGACCCGATTCAAAGTGAATCGTCCGAGACAGTTTGAATCGGGTCAAGCCCTCACGAGTTTTTCGTGCCCCCCAACAGAGCTTTTTTCTTATTGGCTAATTCCTCAGCGAATTGGGGGCCCTATTCGCGACAAGGATTTAGGGAACAGGATTCCTGTTAAACCCTAAAGGCTGAAGAAATAAGAAGTAAGGAGCAAGATGATTCAGGATTTAGCAAAAAAGGCTTTAGGGAATAGGATTTGCTTTTCAAGATTTAATTTAGGGGCTCTCCTCTTTAGGATTTAAAAAGCCCCCCTCTTTAGGGTTTAAGGAATAGGATTTGGTGAGGAAAAATATTAAGGAAAGAAGGTTCAGGGAACAAGATGTTGGGATCCGAAATGGATTCAGGGAACAGGACTTGTTTGTTAGGATTTAGGGGCTCTCCTCTTTAGGATGTCAGGGCCATGGATTGCAGATGTAAGTTCTAAGTGCAGGTCAAAGCATCTGTGCACGGGTCCTCAGACCTAAATTAAATAAACCCATAAGAACATTCATACAGAACGGAGACATGCAGAAAGACACAATGTTCTCCGAGTGACAGTGGCTCTGTGCCTTTCAATCTTAAGGTTGTTCCAGAAGACCTTGTCTTGGGTCAGAGCAATCCAAGATAATCCAAGGTTGGCACTCTTTGGCTTTTTCCAGGACATAGTGAAGGACCCCATGTGTGCGCAGTCAAAAGCTGTGAGCGAGCATGCCGAGCACTGCACTTCCTTCATGAAGCCGATGCAGGACATCTCGCAGATCAACAGCGTCATGGGAATCTGGGCTGTGAGCCCTCGTCAAGTGGACTTGAGCTTCCCAGGTGCCTTCAACAAAGCCATAGTCGCTTGCCAGCACTTGCAGGCCAAGATGACAGACAGTTGGCATCTGAAAGAATGTCTGCCCACTGGTAGCTGGCCTCCACGTTCCGAGGTGGGTAACCGACCCGACTTCAGAGCGTTTGACCCTGTCTCTTGGATACAACATGGTGCAACCGGAAATTCAAAACTCGCATTTGCAGACAGAACCCTCTTCATGAGGTGATACCACTCGCACCCCTGAAGCCCCAAGCTGCCAAACGCTTGTCCCTCTAATTGTCGGATGCTTGGGGCCAAACCCATCCGAAGCCGAAACCTGTGGTTGTGTGGTATCGCAGGTGAAGAATTACCACGAAGGCACAGGCATGGTCGCCAGGACCGACCAGGCGCCCACGGTTCAGCTGTGCAGGTTTGTGCGCGATTACTTTTTATGTCATTTTACGTGCAAGGAAGCAAAATGAGCGGCATGAGCTGATCTGTTGGTCTTCTCTTCTTCTCTCAGGAGCTGTCCGACCCAGAGCTTGCCAAGCAAGCTTTGGAGCCTAGATTGCAACAGCCAAGGCAGCCAAGACTCTTTCCCTTACATCCTCCTTTGTGCCTCCAGAACAATTCATGACAAGCCGCGGCATTGCCGTATGCTGTCAAGGTGGGTTTTTTCAGGCTAGAGGCCAGTATGCTGTTTCTTATTCGCAAGGCCGGGCGAATAGGGATTTGCACGATTCCCAGCCCAAGGAAGACAGTGAGCTTGTGCTTCACAATGAAATCCGAAGAACGACGCCCGGCTGCCTTGTGCTTCGTGCCAGACCCTCTCGAACTCTGTAAACAATGCGACAGACAGACTTGCATTCTCTGTTGCACGGTATTTTAAGGAGTCCAGCTTCTCTTGGTTGTACTGTGGCGTACAGCCTGGTAGAGTGAACTGAGTGAACACCCCTCCTTGGTTGCTGCCTCGCCGGTTTGTTTTTGCCAGAGAGTTTGATGTGGTTGGGAGATGAACCTGTGGGCTTTCCGGAATTGGGGAGGGGTTCGGACATGACTTACAAAGCTGTCATCTAGACGTTCCACTCCAAAAGATTCCGCAAGTGTGCGTCGAAATCCCTGCACCCGATGCATCCCAGTGCTATGCCTTAGGTACACGTCTATCATGATGGCCTCCGGCCTCGACCCCTTTGCGCGGTCGTCGTGGGAGTTTTGCCTTCGGGCATTCCCCTGCTGCGCTGCTTGGATTGTTCATCTCGTAAGCCCAGTAGCTCAAGACGAGCCGATATACTGTACCGCCCAGAAACCTGGGGCGTTTACGTGCTCCTGTTTTCACTGCATAGTGTTTGCTCCGCTATATCGGCAACTTCATCGCAAAAGAAAATGGAACGTAGGTGCTAACAACTGTCGCTCAGGCGGCAAGGGGTTGCAATCGCAAAAGGTGCTGCGCACAAATATGAGCTTAATCGAAACGACTCCAGAAGACGATTTTCCCTTGAAATGTCTTGAGTGTTCTGCATGCGCAATGAGAATCCACATGTTCAGATGGACATTCTGAAGCAAAAAAAGTCCGACACATGCAATTATGCCCATACCGCCTTTGGGAAGCCTGTGCTGTGCTCAGTCTCAAGTATCGGAAGCCTCAGATTAGAGCCAAGGTGCTCCCTTTTCCGGAAGAGCATCTGCTGTTCTTGCCTCAGCAGCATATAGCAGCATGACATCACCGTGGTTCTGCTGCAAAACATGACACGTTGTGTATGGTTCCTGCGATAGCACCGAAATGAGGGGCCCCGCACTGCCCCGCACACCCTGCAGCTGCATTTGGTAGATGGCCATAGGCACGTGGGACCCCATAGGCATGTGCACAGACGGCTAGTAGTGCAGGTCTCACCACTACTTCGCCCGCGAATTCCTCTTTGATCGAGGAGATTTAGAGGGCAACCAGTTTGGGGACCCGTTGAATCTTGGGCAGAAAATATTCAGCAGTGAAGCGAAGCTCAGTCCATCGCAAGAGCCGGCTCTTTCAGACCTTGGGATGATCTCATGGGCAGTGGCGTGGACTCGACTTTCAGCTTGTATGCACCCAGTTTCGTTCACCCCTGCCGCACCCCCTTAAGCTTCAGCCTCTCTGTCCTTGAGCCTTCTTTTGCTTTTCCACCGACTCCAGCCAAGGACGTCAAAGTCGTACAACAGAATTGTAGCTGAAATTGACGGCGAGGCTGATCCCAACCATTTCCACAAATAGAGAGAGAGAGAGAGAGAGAGAGTTAATATGTCCGGCAGAAGAAGAAGAGAGCTTAAATGGGGAGGGGTTAGAAAGAGAAAGAGCAGAGAGAAAGAGATTGAGAGTGAGCTGTCAGAGAGAGAGAGAGAGAGAGAGATTGCTGACAGAGAGGGCGAGCGGGAGACAAAGAGAGAGAGAGAGAGTGAGAAGTTTTGAGGTTTCCAAGTAAAACTAAAACAGGAGAAGAGTATTGTATTGGCCACGAGCCCGCTGACAGGGCCAAGGGCACTGCGTAAGATGCGCAGAGCGCAAGAACCTTTCAGACTGGCAATTAGCAATAGGGCAGCCACGTATTGCGCCATTCACCTTTTTAGGGGTCCGCATAGTCAGGCCAGTAGAAGGAGGAACAAGCCACGTCATGTCACCAAGAGCGGCTCCCACGCTCCCAATGCGACCTGAACCCTGAGGTGCGGGGCTCACTAAGGAACTTCTAAGGACTGGAGCCTCGAAAGTAAGGGTCATGAAGGGGGGGGGAGTCGTATTTTCACCACCTGCCTCGACTGTGTGGACTGGGCGCGCCCGCGCGCACGGGGGGTCCTCGGTCCCTCATGCCCCGAAGAAGCAGAAGAAGAAGAAGAAGAAGAAGAAGAAGAAGAAGAAGAAGAAGAAGAAGAAGAAGAAGAAGAAGAAGAAGAAGAAGAAGAAGAAGAAGAGAATGAGAGCAGCAGAGAGAGCTGAGCGACAGAGAGAGAGAGAGAGAGAGAGACTGAATTCTGTGAAGGAAGGAAGGAAGGAAGACTGAATTCTGGCTCAAGTCGTACCCGGTGAACCCAAGCTATGCCCTCGGTGTAACTTGGGATCTGACGAGCGCGTGAGCCACACAAGGGGTCCTGGCTAAGAATGACACAGGATAGACCTGCGAGTTTACGGGTTACTGTTTTTCTGCTGTCTACTTGTTTGCTGGAGCCCTTTCGCCCAGTGCTCGGCTAGTACAACCTGAAGCGTGCGAGGCCCCTTCAGAAAGTTGGTTCTAAAGGAAAGGCAACCCCAAACAGGGTTGAGGAGAGCCCTAGACCTGTACGTCAAACCCCCGCCAAATGTAATGGAAGAGGAGCCCATTACCGGCCTAATTAACGTGCCTCAATTGCCTACTCGTATGGCTTCTTCCTGAATGGCGCCCGCACTGGTCATCACCTCACCGCTTGTGATGCGCCCACAGATTTGCTCGAGCCACTCGCTTTAAGCCGAATGTGTGGCTGAGGCTGTAATCGTGTCAAGGAACGATCCTCGCTTTCCATGAGATACCGAAGAATAAACAAGAAGATGTGC